GAATGTACAAACAGAGCAATATTTACTAGTATAAAAACGTAAAACCAAAAAAAAAGAGGTGCCACATGTTGGTTTTGTGGAGGTCCAAATATATCAATTAACACTGCTCGACTCATAGTTGTTCGGCCAGTTTTCCATGCAACCGTGCTCCCAGCTTTCGCAACGCCGGGCTCGTTAAGATCTAGTTGCGTGCCCACCTCTATCTATATCATCCTCTTAGCTAACCCTTCTCATCAACCTCCAGCCGGATTTCGTATCTCGTCGCCATGCCTATCTATCCGCCTATTTGTCACGTTGGACCTTAGCCACGCTACACGATCTTGCTTTCGTGTCTGGCCATCTATTCTCTATTGAGCCAACCTATCCTTCTAGCATGTATTTGACATCGAAACAAATCAGTCTTTCGTATTTTGCACTAAAAAATTTGAACTTTCTTATTTAGCACCAAGTTAAAATTTCCTTTCTTATATGGTACTACCGTCCATTTTATCCATTCATATGTTAGTTGACTATTTTAACCGTGTCAGTTTTTTATTAATGTGACAGCACTGCCCCTCCTCCTTCATGAATCGCACGAACAGGCACCGGAAGCAAAACGCGTCGGCCTCCTACACTTTTCCGTCTTGATTCGCAGCCTAGGGTTAGGGCGGCTGCCGGCGGCGTCTTCCCGGCGGCAAGGCGGCTCCTGGCAGCGAGGCAGCGCGTCGCCCTTCTCCTGCCCCGGCTCGAGCCCCAGTTCGTGGCGGGTGCTCTAGGGGCGACGGGTGCCCCAGGCGGCGGGTCCGCCCGACCATTGGCTGCCGGCGAAGACTCTTCCCGGCGGCGAGGCTGCGCTTCTCCCTTCTCCTCCCTCCCGGCTACGATCTGTTCGTTTTTTTCCCTATTTTCGTTCTTGGCTACGATCTGAATTTCCCGGAGTTTGGGTCAATCCCAGACGATGATTTCTTGGGGATAGGTTTGTAGCAAGTTGAATTTCATCTGAGAGAAATTTGGGATTGAATCATGGAGTTTTTGGACGGATTTCTTTGATTATTGTGGACGCCTGTTTGTTTTTTTTGGCGACGTCGTTAAATCCATTCGTGCTTCCTTTGGGAGCAGCTGCTCAAAGACTTTTTAGCGGCAAGCACTACCAGCGACGCGGCGCTCGGCGCCATGCACGCTCACTGAAAGCGGTGCTTGCCCTTTGCCTAGGTGCCCGACCGATCGGTGCTCGTCGTGCTTTTTTCTCGGCGTCCGCGTGTTTCGATTCGGTGCCGTGCTCGAGCAGACCCAAGCCGGCCTCTTGTGTCCTGCGTGCGCTCCAGTCAGCTAGCGTGCTTATCTGTCCGTTTGGTGTAGCAGTGTCTGCAATTATGTGATTTTCTGATCGATCTCTTGCAGTCAGTGGTTAGGCCGCCTCTGATCGATCATTGATAGATATTTAAATTTAGTTTTTTAATAAATATATTTGGCATCATGTATTTCTGCTATAAAGAAGGACATTCATGTCATTTTACCAGCCACTTGATGCCGTTATTAGCCCAAATAGACGGCAATGCTATCTAGGGAAGGAAATTTCAACTTAGTGCCAAATAAGAAAGTTCAAATTTTTAGTGCCAAATGCGAAAGACTGATTTATTTCGGTGCCAAATACATAATTCTCCCATCCTTCTATCTTTTACTTGCCATACTGTTTAGGTTTCCGTAGAGATAAAACCAGGCGTAGTGAAACAAACCCATTTGCATTCATTCTATATATATATATACTCAAAATCAGATTTATGATATGTATGTGAGATAGATATCCATATCTAACATGATCCGTATCCGGCTCTTAGATCCGAGAAAGAAATATGAGAAAGATTGCAGGACATGGATAGAATGCAGATCAATGATATCCGTCTGTATTAGATCCGATCTGATCTTCAGCCTGTTCGAATTTCATGCTGCAGCTGCAGCTAGCTGTTTTTTTTTATCTCAATTCATCGCTACAATATTTTTTTTTCTCTTGTTCACTGCAGCGCTGCACATAAGTGCAGCCGAACAGGACATTCATCTCTATATACATACCACGGAGAAAAGATTAAACGCAACTAGGTAAAACAAATAAAAAATGACGCCAATTATGACTAAAAACACACCCTAATAATATTGAGTCTGTTCGCTTGGTTGTAAGTGATCGTAGATTATAAGCCAGTATTTTTCTCTCACATCAAACCAGCCAGCAGTAATAATTCACGATCGTTTCAGCCGAAACGAACAGGCCGATTAACTCAAGTATGTAAAAAAAAAAAACACCCTCGTTACAAGTCTTGTCCAACAAACAAACATGTGGTACACCACAGTAAGTCCACCACAACTGGCATAAAAAAGCTTTTTATCTGTGTACCATTATAAAAGATGGTCCTGGTCTACAGGTCATTAAAAAAATCGAAAGCGCTCTCGAACGTGCTCTGGTGCCATGACGCTAAACTTTCTTGCCTTCTACGCCATTACGTTCACTTTGGCCTCTAACAGTGTCAAACAGACGGATGAAATGACAATTTTACCCTACAGTGGGACCCGTTTGTCAGCCACCCAAACCTTCCTTGTTCTCTTCTCTTCAGCGCCACCGCGGTCGATCGACGACGTTCGAAAGGCGCAGCGCTGGGGCATCCCCGATCAACACGACCGGCCCCCCACCATCGCTACCGGCGTGTGGGCGAGCTTAGCTCCGCCCCGGACCTTTGCACGGGGCCCGACCTGCTGGACTAGGTCCGGCTCCGGCACGGTGCGCCCGTGCCGGAGCCCGACGCCGCCCGTGTCGTCGCGCAACTCGCCGAGGCGCTCACATGCTGCCACCGTCGCGGCGTTGTCCACCGCAACGTAAGCCCGACAACGTGCTCCTGGACCTGGACCCCGCGGGCGAGGCGCCCCGCGGGTGTGGCTCACGGACTTCGTCTCTGTCACATGGCTCGGCTCGGGCGCCGGCGCCGGCGAGGGCGGCGCGCCGAGGGGCTGGTGGGCACCCCACACTACGTGGCGCCCGAGGTAGTGATGTATGCGCTCCTCTGGGGGGGGGCGGGCTGCCCTTCGACAGTGAGACGCCCGTGGACGTGTTCGCGGCCGTGCTGCGCGGCAGCCTCAGGTTCCCGCCCGCGCTGTTCGCCGGGGTCTCGCCGGCGGCCAAGGACCTGATGCGGCGGATGATGTGCCGCGACGTCTCGAGAAGGTTCTCCGCCGAGCAAGTCCTCAGTAAGTCGTCGGATCTTTGCGTTATCTCGATTTCGTGCTGCTGCGTTGAATATTAGATTAGATTCGTCTTCTTTCCTATAGATTATTGAATCACAATCCTATTGGGCGCTAGCACAGATCATGTGCCTTATCTAAAAATGAGTGGAACCCACCAATCAATCAGCCGGTGAGACAGGGCCGGTGGTCAGAGTGCATGCGGCGCTGCGTTTGGGGAAGAGGAAGGACATGTTGAATAAACAAAGAAGGGTATTTTCTGCCTATGTGTCGGGCAGTTACACTGCAGAAAAACGACGGAAGGTAGACAGAATGACGTGGAAAGTAAGAAAGTTTAGCGTTATGTCACCTGAACGTGTTTGAAATTTTTAGGAGCCCTATAGACTGGATCATTTTTCGTACCGGCACGCGGTAAAAGGCCCCGCATAAAACCCCGTCAAAAGTACACTACTCGGAACAACAAGTACACCAGGAGGCCGTTCCTCCCCTCTTGTCGCGGAAGGAGAGCGAGCAGAGGACTACTCCTGCTGGAGCTGGACACCATGCCTTTGCCAATTGCCATACCAGCAGCGTCGGGGCCGGGCCTGCTTCCTTTTGCGACCCCGGCACACAGGATTAAACTATAATAATAATAATAATAACAAAACCCGAGCAAACGGAAAAAGAAATCCAGCCTCCTAATCGAACCCTCTCCCACGCACACTGTCTCGCCTCCACGCGGGCGCCGCGCAGCCTCCTGCCCTACGCGTCAGCCGCGGGAGGCGGGTGCCGCGCGGGTCGGCGGCCCGCCGCTCTTAATCAAATCCAATGGAATTCTGACGTCCGCAGGGAGGGACAGAAAGTCGCTGCGTTTTCTCCCCCCTCATCTCTCTCTCCTCCTGCTGCTAGCCTGCTAGCGCTTCTTCGGCTTCTCTCTCCCCCTCCCCCCTCTTCGCTTCCTCCCCACCAAGCCAAATCCCATCGCGAGATAACAAAACCAGGCCAACGGATTCTTTTGGCTGCGGGTGGTGGTGGTGGTGGTGGTGCCCGGTGGTGCTGTTGGTGCCCCTGTTGCTGTGCCGCCGCCGAGGCGCGTCCCGCGGCCTAAACCCTAGCCGGGAGCCGGAGCCGGAGCTGCTAAGGCGGGCGCCCCGCGGCTCACCTCGTCTGTCTCTCGGCCAGGTGCGCGCGCGCCGCGCCGCCCGCTCGATTCGAGCTCCGGTGCGACGGGGAACGGGCCCGTGCTGCGGACGGCGCCGCGGAGGTGAGCGTGTTTGTTGGCACTGGAGCTGCTGCTGCTGCGGCGGCGGCGTTCTGTCTTGTGGTGTTTCTGTTGAGGGCGACGGCGTGGGAGGAGCCGGGGGGCTGCCGTTTAATTCCGCTTATTTTGCCGTCTCGGGGATTTCGCGGGTGTTGCTTTTCTTCGTTGTTGCGGGGTGTGGATTTGGGGAGGGCAACTCCGCCCTCGTCTCGCTGCTTCTTCGTGCTGCTGTTCTTCCCAGCTGGCAGCGCTCGATTCCGGGGAGGGAGCGGTGCGGGACAAGCGTGTTCTCCCTTCGCAGATTTGCGAGGTGGGGTAGTAATGGCGTAGATCCCACACTTGCGTTGCGTCGCTAACTTGCAATCTCTACTTTGTTCGCAGAGGATGATGCTCCCCCGTCCCTGCTAGATTCCCGCGGATCTCGCGGGCGTGCTGGGGGTGGGGTGAAACGATGGCCAGGTGAGTACAGACAGGCCGCTTGCGATCTCCTAGTGGTTGGTGCGAGTGGTGGACGACGACGACCAAGATGATGCCGTCGGGCCCGCCGAACCCGATGGGGCCCGGGCAGCCGGTGGGCGGCGCGGCGGCGTCGCTGCTCCGGACGAACTCTTCCCTGCTCAGTGGCGGTGGCCAGCCGGGGATGATGGGCGGCGGAGGTGGTGGTGGTGGTGGTGGTGGTGGCGGCGGCACGCTTTCTTCACAGTCGCCCTTCTCCTCCCTTGTCTCCCCGCGCACGCAGTTTGGTGGTAATGGTCTGCTTGGAGGCGCCTCGAATGTCTCCTCGCTGCTGAACCGGCCGCCGTTCGGGAACGTTGGCCCTATGCCGGGTCCAGTGTCGATGCAGGGTGGTGGGATGCAGATGAGTACGCTCCAGCAGAGAGCTGGGCTGGATGGTGCCGGCGATTTCATTGGCGCGGGAGGGTCGGATCCTCTGTCGTTCCCGTCTTCCTCACAGGTCAATTTGGGCAATCAGATGGGGTCAGATAATCTGCAGGCGATTTCGCAGCAGCAGCAGCAGATGGATGCAGTGCATGATATGCAGCAGCAGCAGCAGCAGCAGCTACCAATGTCTTACAACCAGCAACAGTTGCCACCACAACATTCACAGCAGCTCCAGCAGCCACAGGCTACCGTGAAGTTGGAGAATGGAGGAAGCATGGTTAGCATCAAGTCAGAGCAGCAGATGGGGCAACCTGACCAGAATGGTCCTGCCCAGATGATGCGAAGTTCTAGTGTGAAACTTGAGCCACAACAGCTGCAAGCCCAGATGATGAGGAGTTTAAGTTCAGTCAAGATGGAGCAACAGACTTCAGATTCATCAGCATTCTTGCAGCAGCAGCAACAGCAGCAGCAGCAACAACAACGTCATTTGTTGCAGCTGACAAAGCAGATTCGAAATTGTCCAGACCTTGTATCAATGGGTGGACCAAACACAATTGCAAACCCTCAAGCTGCTGCAGCTGCTCAACTGACCCTCTTGCAGCAGCAACGGATCCTGCATATGCAACAGCAGCATCAGCAGCAGCAGCAGCAACAACAACAGATTCTTAAGAACTTGCCGTTGCAGAGAAACCAGTTGCAGCAACAACAACAGCAGCATCAGCAACAGCAGCAACAGCAGCAGCTACTTCGTCAACAGAGTCTAAACATGAGAACTCCAGGAAAGTCGCCTCCTTATGAGCCAGGAACCTGTGCAAAGAGATTGACTCATTACATGTATCATCAACAAAACAGACCGCAAGTAAGTTTTTTTTGTGGCTTGTTTGAAGGAGTAATTTAGTGTTCCAAGCGAAAGCCAGGTACTAACAACATAGTATATCTCACCTGTTGTTCTGATTCAGGATAACAATATTGAGTACTGGAGAAACTTTGTCAATGAGTATTTCGCTCCAAATGCTAAAAAGAGGTGGTGTGTCTCGCTTTATGGAAGTGGTCGTCAAACTACTGGAGTTTTCCCTCAGGTCTAGTGTGCCTGTTCCCATGGATTTTTTTTTTTAATATTGAATCTTCATTATTGAACTTGGGAATGGTCTAGCATCTGAAAGCTTTGCCTTTGAAATTATTTTAGATTTTTTCATACAGTTCTTATCTTTCAGGATGTATGGCACTGTGAGATTTGTAATCGGAAACCTGGCCGTGGTTTTGGTAAGCTTCATAAACTTCAGCAAAGCCGTCTCTTAATTCTCTCATGCTTTATTTTGATCCTGTATTGCTTTTGACAGAAACAACGGTTGAGGTACTACGCGATTATGCCAAATTAAATCGCCAGTGGTACACTGGAAGAACTTTTGTACATCGACATGCCTCGTGAGTCCCAGAATCGTCAGGCCAGATTATTTTGGACTACACGAAAGCAATCCAAGAAAGTGTCTTTGAACAATTGCGTGTTGTGCGAGAGGGGCATCTAAGGATAGTTTTTAATCCAGACCTTAAGGTATTGTGGTTCAGCTTTCTAGTTTTTTTTAATATTATTTCAAATTAGTACCTTTGAAGCTAAAGCACATTCTTTCCTATCTTCTTTTTATTAAAGATAGCATCTTGGGAGTTTTGTGCTAGGCGTCATGAAGAACTTATTCCACGGAGATCTATAATACCACAGGTAAGATGTATTTCAAGAATATAGACAGCTCAGGTCATAGTTTATTCATAATTTTGGATTTTGGTAACAAGGGTTTTCACAGACTTTGGCGTCCTGATCTTTATATGTAGGTTAGTAACCTTGGCGCAGTTGTACAAAAGTACCAGGCTGCCGCACAAAACTCAACGAGTTTGTCTGCTCAGGACATGCAGAATAATTGCAACTCGTAAGTAGATTGGCCCTTGCCGTGCTACATACTCCATTCCATCATCGCTTCCATTCCATCATCGCTGCTTTGCTACGATCAAATTGTTTTCCACCATTTTGAACATCCATATCTTGGTTCTGAAACTTAGTATTTACCCTGGTGAAGAAGTTGATTTAAGGGTGGACATACTTCTAGACTTCCAGATGCATTAGCTTACACAACAATTGATTCAGATTGTTTTCAGCCTGATTGTTGGATAGATTAGTGATAGAGGTTATGGGTGTTCAGACCCTCAACTTCTACCTTCTCATTGGAACACAAGGACATGAAGCAAATGGGCTAGTGAGGCAATTTGTCATTGTGGTGGGTGTTGGTGGTTGTTATTCCCGCACCCAGAATTATAAGTTCATCTTTGAGTATTATAATATAGTCAATTTTGATGTGTAAGATCAAATTTACGTATGTCAACATTAAACCAGCTTCTGGAACAGAATAGTATTATCATTGTTATGAAAACTTTGATAGCCCAATTCCCAGGTATTATCATACTAATATCTTTGTTTCTGGAGTTAGCACGGAACATTCGTAGTGGTTCTAGACTATTATGGTACTAGCAAAGCATTTGAAATGTCAAGTAGCTCTAGAGATACTGTGATATGAAGGGTAGCTGTCCAGAATTTAGAAATCAATACCTAGGTGTCTGTCAGCAACCCACCCAATGCCCAGGTATGTAAATGCATGTGTGCTGAAAGTGTGCAACCCTTCCAAGCATTAATGGGGCATTGGCTTTCAATTGGGCATCACACCACTTTATGCTGTAAGAGCATCTCCAAGAATAGTCTCACTCTTCATTAGGGTAATATACCATGTACTTCAGAAAGGACGAGGCACTCTTGAGAGTCTCAACCCAACCCAAGATCAAAGGGCTCACCAGTGTCATCGATAACTCTTATGATTGTCGACTTCCATGGTTAAGTTGGTACCATATTGACGCGCACCAGAAAGTGATTAATGATTACCACAGCCCTTATTAGTCTGTTGGCATAGAATGACTATTTGGTGTCATAAATGCTGACAATCTTCTCTATAAACTTGGTTAAACTTAAGATAGTACTTATGACAAACATAGAATATCAAGTTTTTTATTTGGGACGGAGGTACTAGTAATTACATGCAACAGAAAAGAAGTATCCGTGCTTCTTAGTGTAGCTGATAAACATTTGTTACAATATTTGGCTTATATGCACTATGGATATCCTGCTTTGAATTGATTATGATTTGATTTGGGCACATTTATCTTTTGCTTCAACAATCATAACTTGTGTCTTATCTGGGTAGAGGTATCCGTGCTTCTTAGTGTAGCTCATGAACTGCATACATTTCTTGCTGAATTTTTGCTTGCACCAAGTCATCACTGTTTTTGAACTTTTCGAGTTAGTACAAATTCTCTTAACCTAATCTTGTGCTTTAGGTTTGTTGCATGTGCCCGACAATTGGCCAAAGCACTGGAGGTTCCTTTAGTAAATGATTTAGGGTACACAAAACGATATGTTCGCTGCCTTCAGGTAATCTTATCTAGAACAGTTTTTATTTGTGCTTGTTCTTAGATTATCCAATTGAAGTTAATATTGCGATGTATGCAAAATTTCTAATTTGGTCCATATGATGATTCTGATATATTGTTGTTGCATATGATGATTTCCGTTTTCTTCTATTTTAATGCCTGTTAACTTATTTGATCTTATTGAGCTCATTTTAGGATGCTGACTTTTATTCTTGTCATCTTAATGCTGGTTCTTCCAGATTGCTGAGGTCGTAAATTGTATGAAGGATTTGATTGATCACAGCAGGCAGACTGGATCTGGACCCATTGGTATGATATTTTGATTTTTTTTTTGTGAGGACAATCTCATTATTCTCATCTTTCACAGTACTTCTATTAAATTTTTTGGTGCTGTGTTTTTTTATCGTCATTGGTGCTGCTTTGGATAGTAATGAATTGCTGAAACTCAAATTAGGAGGGTTTGACCATGTTAGGTGCCAGTTTGGTCTGTAGCTGCGTTCCTTGCAAGATTCCTTTTGCAACAACCTGGATCCACACGCCTGTATCCAAAAGTTGTTGCAAGGTTCTCCTAGTTGATCCATATTTTGGCATATAATCTGATAATCTAACATTAGGCGAGTTGACGAAACAATGTGGTTGTATCAGCAACCTGTGTATTATGTCCTTAATCACCATAACTTGTCAATTAGCAAAATCAAAGTGCATTTTATTGGTCTGGTCACCACTTACAATTTACAACTGGGATTCAATGTCAGTGATTTCAAACTTCCCTGACCCCATCTGAACCAGTAACTTGCCACATTATGGCCTTTGCTTAGCATATATCTAGGTGCATAGCAAAAGTTGTCTAAAAATATCAAAATGACCTATCATTTAGGACGGAAGTAGTAGTTTCTAGCTGTATGGTATGCTTTCCTGTTTTATTTTTATTTTTTTAACACTGTTTCTGTTTATTCAGATAGCCTGCATAATTTTCCTCGGAGGACTCCTTCAGGGGTCAGCACCCTTCAACCACAGCAGCAGCAAACTGAGGAGCAGCAGGCCATTCCCCAGAGTTCAAACCAGAGTGGTCAAAATTCTGCTCCTATGGCTGCTGTGCAGCCTTCTGCCTCTGCCAATGGTGATGTGACATCAAATAATTCTCTCAGTTGTGCACCTTCTACATCTGCACCTTCACCGTCAGTTGTTGGGCTCTTGCAAAATTCAATGAATTCTAGACAAGATCATCCAATGAGCAGCACTAATGGTGGCCCATATAATGGAGGCAATGTGGCTATTCCGAAGGTGAACTCTACAAGCTCACTACAGTCAAATCCATCTACCTCTTTCCCTTCCCCAGCACCGACAACATCCAATAACAGCATGATGCCTGCTCCTCAAAATACAAATCAACTAAGATCCCCAACTACATCATCAAGCATACCTCCGATGCAGCCACCTGCTACTCGACCTCAGGAGGCTGAGCCAAGTGACTCGCAAAGCTCGGTTCAGAAGATCTTGCAAGATCTGATGTCATCACAGATGAATGGTGTTGGCCACTCGGGGAATGATATGAAGACACCAAATGGACTAACCCATGGTGTCAATGGGGTTAATTGCTTAGTTGGCAATGCTGTCACGAATAACTCAGGGATGGGAGGAATGGGATTTGGCGCCATGAGTGGGTTCGGTCATGGGATGAGAACGGCATTGACAAACAATGCGATGGCAATGGGTGCAAGGATGGGAATGAATCAGGGTGGACATGACCTATCGCAATTGGGTCAGTTACACCAGCATCAGCAGCAGCATGACATAGGAAACCAGCTGTTTGGTGGATTTAGATCAGCAAACAGCTTCAGTAACATTCAATATGACTGGAAACCCTCACAATAGAGCAACCAGAAAGCATAGAGTTCAGTGTGATGATGCATCTGCCCTTGCTGGCAATGCGTGTGGAGCATCCACATTTATGGTGCCATAACCTCCCCTTGGCCCAATAGCATTTGGGCCTTTGCATTAATGCTGCCATGAAAGGGCACCATAAGCGATAGCAAGCATCCCGGCTGGTACATGTAAGTCTGTAACAGTCAGTTTAGCTATCTCCTCGTGCGTTACTCCCTCGGTTTTATAACATTTGTCGATTTTACTGGGAGTTGCAGTTCCGCCATGTGTCACATTGTTTGTCCACTCTTTACCCCTTTAATGCTGTGAAAAAAGGTCAAGTAGCTATAGCATGTTATAATAGTCCTATGTGTGGTAATTCCTTGTTAGCTCTTAGATTTAGTGTTTCCTCTGTCTATTTATACGGTCATCATCATTGACATATTGTGGAATGGAGAGCCAGAGTTACACAGGATGGGCCACTAAAAACGGTCTGAGCTGGGTGCCCGTCACTTATTGCTTGCTACAGCTATCTTTGAGAGAGATACTCTGAAAGAATTCGAGCCTCCTGCACCTGCCACCATCTATCAGCTCCTATTGTGCTTTGTGGTACTAAAATGAAGTTGCCCCTCGCCTTTTTCCATGTTGGATGACATGTATCTTATCCTCTGTAATTTACCACCTGTCTCTCTTTACGAAGCTACTGATGCTGATATCCTCTGTCCTCCCTTGTGGAGAATTCTCTTTGCAGCTTTACTGTGCTGTACTGCTGTATGATTGGCACACTGACTAGATCGAAGTACCACCACGGAATGGATGTTCTCTTAGTCCTGTTGGCCGTTGCTTTAACTGATTGGGAGGGGAACTTGTTTTTCTCTGCAGTTAATTTACACTGAGGTGTATACGGTCTCGAGTCGACGTGCATGATAAACACAGTTCTGAGTTCCTTCCGCACGATCATTGTTAACGGTGTCTGAAGTCTGAGCGTAAGATATGTATATAAAAAAAGTCTGAACCTACGCAGCCCATGTCGTCCGTGCGGTTCTCGTGTACTGTATATACTTTTGGGCTGCAATGTTTGGCAGCGCCGCAGGCGGTACTTTTACGCCTTGGAAGGCAGTACGTAGCTGCCAACGCTGGATCGGCCACAGAATAGTACAGTTCCTGCATTCAATTGATTTGCCCTTCTTTTTATTGCTGGTAAAATATTTTTTGGTTCACTGGTACGTATGCACTCTTTTTTTTTTTGGAAACTGGGTAGATATATTACTCATGGGCTGACAACTCGTCAGCAACAATTACATTGATGTGTTCAGGGAGAGAGTTTAGAATTTCCCCAAATCCCTCAACACACTCGTACCCACTAGCGGCAGTGTCATGTGCCACCCACCTGAAACTATTGAAGTTCACATGCACCATAAATTTAAGTTCGGCGAGCAGCCCACCAACAGCACTAGCATCCGTTTCCAGCACCATGTCAACGATCCCCAACCTGATGGCTTCCTGAACTCCATGCAGACATGATATAAGTTCAGCTTGGAAGGCCCCAAGTAGGTGCTCCACCTTTCCTCTACCTGCTGAGACAACGTCTCCATCGCTGTCCCTTGTGACAAATCCCCAGCTTCCCGTGGCCGCACCCGGGATAAAGGATGCGTCGCAGTTCAGCTTCAGTTTGCCAACAGGAGGTTTGGCCCAACGTTCCTTGCGCCTTGTAACAGCCGCAGATGCCGCTGCCTGCTTGTTCAGTGATTCAGCCACAGTCTAATGAACTGAGCAATACCGGAAGACAAACGACGGTTCCCTCCCTCTCTGACATTGTTTCGTTCTGACCACCAGGCCCAGAGAAGGAAGACCATTGTAAGTCTCTTCTCAGTTTGTGCTTGGACCTTGGAGACGAAACTCACAGCACTCCTTGCCGACTCCATTGACGCCAGCAAAACTCTCTCATTTTCCAGCTGTAGGTGACCCCAGACTTGTCTGACTGTCTTGCATTTGAAAAAAAATTCCCTCCATCTTCATCAAACCGTCCACAGACCGGGCACCTAGGATCAATTCGCATGCCTCTCGGATCATGTTTGCTCTCAGCGGATGGCTATTGTGTGCAACTCGCCACATGAAGTGCTTGACTTTGTTTGGACAGTTTAATTTCCAAATTTTCTGGCACAGCTGGTCATCACCTCCACTGCTGCTACTCTGAACAGTGCTCTGGGTTTTTCACCTCACTTTGTCATCCCTGCAAACCTTATATGCACTCTGCGGACGAGCAGTTCGTGCAATCTGAACGGACGCCGCCGGTGGTGACACGTATCACACGGGATATTGTTGTCAAATAAGCAGGGACGAAAATGATGGTCATTTTCAGATGCTAATAAGCCTGCGAGGCCTCCCATGAAACTATTTTTATCTCTCTTCATTTAAATTACGTCACATCAACTTATTTAATGTCCATGCCAGTCTCAATGGGAGTTTCATGGGTATTAAATACACTAACATGACACTATTTTGATGAAGAGAGATCATGATAAAGGTTTCATGGGAATGAAGTTCTTCTGCACTGTTTGCAAAATATAGGTGTATTAGAAACTAGAACATGAACCCCGCTGAGGCTGGCCTAAACTATCTAGTTTATAATAATGTGCCTATACCATTTCTCCTCTACCTGCTTTTGTGAAGTCAATGGATGCCTGGGTCAACTTGCACCGCCCTCTTTAGCCCTTGTTTAGTTGTAGGAATTTGGATTTTGGGGTTACTGTAGCACGTTCGTTTTTATTTGGCAAATAGTGTTTAAATATGGACTAATTAGGCTCAAAACGTTCGTCTCGTAATTTCCCACAAAACAGTGCAATTAGTTTATCTTTTCGTCTACATTTAATGCTCCATGCATGGGCCGCAAACATTCGATGTGATAGGTACTGTAGCAACTTTTTGGAAGTTGGGGTGGAACTAAACACGCTGTTAATACGGTTTCTTCTCGAGTGAGGTGTACCTTATTAAACACTCGGGCCTGTTCATCTTCAGATAGCTAAGGAGACCAAATACTTCTTTCCTTCCACTGGCTGCGCGAGCTGCTTCAACGACGAACGCGAGCCAACGTTTCCTTCTTGGATAGCAGCAGCTAGCTAGCCGCCTTCGCACGTGCCCTCCGTCTACCAGGTTAGCTATCGATCTATTTCTCAAATGGTCATCGCTGTTTTTAGGTAGGAACTTACTGAACGATGCTCAAGTATCAGTTGGATCTGTGCTTAATTTCTTGACGAATCCATCACACATGCATCTGTGTTAATTTCCCGTCTAATCCCGCAGCTAGGTATCTAGTGGCCTTTTTAACAGATAAATCTATGTTGAGTTTGAAGAAGTCCGGTAATATAATACATACAACCTCATTTTGTAAAAAAAAAAAGATATACCTTGTCATTATGAGTTTCTTTTGAGCAAACCTTGTCATTACGAGGTGAATTGGTCGTCTGCCTGTGCTTGAACACGGCATCCTAAAGGGCCTAAGATCTTTTTTTTAGGAATCACATTCTTTGAAGCAGAACCAAAGACAAAGAGTCCAAAAAATTGATAGATCATTAGGGATGTGGCCCATTACCATCTCCCAGTACATTTATGAGGGAACACTGTGTTGGATTGTGATGGATCAATAGGGAGGCCGTGTTCATAAAAATGACAACGCTGTGAGCAGTGTTCATACTGCTGTAGGGAATCATCTGGTGATGGACGAGTTGACTCTGTGTGCCAAACCAAACGCGCTGTGTTTAGGTTCGGACACAAATTTGGATGGTTCAGCACAGGGCCATGCCCTAAATCAACGGAACTGCTAGCGCCCGGACATTCGGATAGACGCCCGCGGCTGCTGGCCTGCCGCGCTGCTCGCTTGCGCCGCTCCGTGGGGACCGTCCTCGCCTGCGCCTGCTTCCCTCACCTACTTGTAACATGTGCAACATCTCGATCTATTTTTACAATATATAGATAAAACATATGCAACATACGTCAGAAACAAATAAAACACTTGCAACATATGTCTAAAATACTTGCAAAAACACCTGAAAACACTTAAAAATCATTGCAAACATACGCAACATACAGATAAAACACTTGCAACATATGTGTGAAACATATGCAACATCCAATAAGCACACTTGAAACATATGTTTAAAAAACAGATGAAATATTGGGAACATACCCTTGCAACATAAGTGTGCAACTACTGCAACATATGCAACATTCCAACCTATTTTTACAATATCCACACGAAACACTTGAAACATACATCTGAAACAACTGAAACATAGACTTGCAACATGTCTAAAAAAATGCCTAAAACACTTAAACACAGCGTCACTGGCAGCCATGGTCTACCTGGTGGGGAATTGCAGTAGCCAGCACGCTCGGATTAGGAGGACATTGAGAACAACGGCCCAATGTACACCTCCATTGTCGGACTTCCCTTTCTGTCGTGGTGTCTTTGGCTAGCCGCAGGAGACGATGTCCAGGCCGGTGATGGCCTCCTATTGGTGGCATTAGGCTGGTGGTGGCCCGGTGACGCCACGACCGCGACCGGCGAGATGGAGTGGGTTGTGGCGTGGTGAAGGAAGCGCACGACGCAGCAAGGGACGGGCGTGGTGGGGTAAGAGGGCGCTGCAGGATGGAGTGGGGCGAGCGGATGCGAGTCTGAAGAAGAGGCAAAGCATGAGACGGTGTCGGTGGAAGGCTAAGAAATGAGTGGATAAGAATTAACGTAGAGAATGAGTGGTTGAGATGAGCCTTGAGTCAGTCCGATATTTTTGGGAGCACCGGACGCTCGAGTTGCAGCATTTCCGATAAAACATGCTGTAGTAGAGACATCATATGAGAGAGAGAGATATATGGGATGCAAGCTTCACTTATCAGATTTCTCTCTTTAGTTCCTCTCATTTCACTCATGAAACAAAACTTTAATGCTGAAAAAAATAAAAAGGTTATTTAGGTACATGACATGGCACTGACTTGACTCAACTATTGTGGATGCT